AAGATCAGGGGTGTGGCAGAAAGACAGCAGTTAGGAGCCACGGAGTTAGCAGTAGAAAGGCTGCAGAAAGAGTCAGGAGCCCAGAGGAGGGGGCAACGGAGGTGAGGGGGTGGGGGCAGAAAGTGGAAATGAAAGCAGACAACAGAACATTGTTAGAGATCAGGAAAGGATGAGAAAGGAGACAATTTTAGAGAAGAAAATTTTTTGGTCGCTACCCGGAATCGAACCCGGGACCTTTGAATGGGAGGCCAACACCTTAACCTCTAGGCCACGAGAGCCCCTACAAGTTTGCCTAATGCATGAAGTACTAAGGAAGAAATATTTCCACAGCCCTAGGTACGTCATTCCAAAACTCTACGGGAGTATGGGGGACCTGCCGCAAACAGCAAGCTACTCAAGCTACTCGGATGTCCATTAAAAGATGATCGAGAATAAGATTCATATCTCGTGTCTATACGTTCAGGTCGTTATGCGCGTTCATTCCACTGACGAAAGCTGGCTGATGTAGCAGTAAACCGTTTTATTGAGTCTCTTCTCTCTATCCTGGCCAAAGCATCTTCCGATCTGACCTGAGATGACTCGAACTCACAGACCATTGATAACAACCCAGGGCGAACAGTCGAGCTTCGTTGTCGTGCTAAATATAGTAGCAGGATGGGCGGAGTCGATAGTTGGAACGATATGAGGGATGGCTGGGATATCATCACTGGTGTCGGGTGTGCACTGGCCAAGTCTGAGACCCCCCCCCCCCCCGCGGTTCCTCCTCACTCCAATCCCTCCCCCATATAAAAAAACCGCGCCTTTTCCCCACTGTGTATAACCCTAGAACATGCTGTTCTCAATATCATAAGGACGCAGAGTTGCTTAAAACCTATAACATCTAAGGTTCTAACTTAAGAACGGTATGCGGTTGCGAGCGCCGTAAAACACTTACCTACGAAACTTAAGAACTACGAGATCAGAAATGTTAGTGTGATTTTTATTAAGTTGTGAAAATAGTTCACTAATCACCATAATTGAAATACAATGTACCTTGAACTGCAAGACAAATAGAGTTGGATTCCTTGGGTCAGTATCAACACGTGATCCCGCAAAGTTTCCAGAAAGGAAAAATGGTGGCGTTTCGATAGGTTCTTTTTTTGTGCTTTTTTTTTAAACTAGAAAATACTTTCGGCCAGGAGCTCCACAGATTGGGTGGGAAAAGCGAGTGAAAGTTTTTATAGTAAAAATTAAACTTCACTGTTTTTTGTGTGTTTTGGTGGGGTTTTTTTTTTTTTTTTTTTTTTTTTTTTTTACAAAAAAGCAAATTTGTGATTGGTGTGTGTGTGTGTGTGTGTGTGTGTGTGTGTGTGTGTGTGTGTGTGTGTGTGTGTGTGTGTGTGTGTACCCGCGCGCGTGCGTGCGCGTGTGTGTGTGGGGGGGTGGGGGTGGCGCGCAAACACCCTACAACAGACTACTGTACTCACCATACTGGCAGCGTGGTCCCTGGAAGCCGGGCTGGCAGGAGCAGGAAGGAGAGTATCCCCCGGCACACTGGCCGCCGTTGTGACACATGTTGTTGGTGCACTGACCTGGGGAGGGAACACAGAGGTTTGGTCAAGTTATGGCCAGGCACTGAATGTTTTAAAAGTAGAGAGCAAGGCTATTAAAAAAAAGGCCCAGGGCCATCATGCAATATAAACATTGTTGTGAAACAAATCGAACACGTCAACAATTAAAAAATCCCCCATGACTTACATGATAATATCAGATGGAAAATGTACACCAGAAGCCCCAAAATACACACCCATCGCCAAAGAGCCTTTTGAAAATGGCCCCAATCTTTCCAAAGAGAAACAACACAAAAGGAAGAACATTCAAAATACTGAAGGCGTATATTTGATCTGTTCTCTTATACGAGTGTGAGTGCTGGACAATCAGTAAGAATATTCAAATAGATTTGGAGTCATCTGTTACCATGTAACTCGGGTGATTTAGAATTGAAAGACCCACATCAACACATTAACGGGCACTTAGTGTCGGGTATGAACGGCATACACACTGAAACAGCAGAATGGAGGGAAATAAGTAGAATTCACTACTGACGCCCTCCAACTTCCTGTTTCTTGATATCACTCACTTGGACAGTTTTGCCTTTTCTGTTGACGACATGAGTCCCCCCCCCCCCGACTGAGGGGCATTAGCACAACAGTGTCTATTTAGTGGAGGGTAAAGGCAAGATAGACGAACATAAAAAATAGACAGGAACAACAAAAGTAGGACCCACCACGGGCACCCAGAAACTACCAAGTGAAAAGCAACACAGAGGTGTCATGATTTGCACGCCCAACACTGTAGTTAATGACTTATTTATTATTCCTTATTCATTCTGAACGTCTTTCGAACTCGTAAAGAATATAACTCGGGTCGAAGGGGGCGTAAAAACGCTGACAGTCATAAAACTAAAAGCAATCTTTGTGTCAATGAAAGTCAAAGTCATGCACATTATGTACAAACACGTGCACACTAATAAACACAATCAGTACGTCCCTCGAAGGTACTGGTACATTAGAAATCGTTTTATGCAAATAAGGAAAGAGGCGAGATGAACTCAGAACGGTGGTGTTAAGACATAAGTACCCACACTTTTCAGCAAGGTCCCAAGAATGAAATTATCATATTATCGCTCTTCAAATAAATTGACCGTACTGTAGACTATGTAAATGTTTTATTGGAAACACCACCAACGTAACACGATTAGTTAAGATTTAGTTAAGATTTTATGAATGAACTCATGGCGAATCATAATTAGTGGCGAGATACAAACGTTGTAGATTACACAGTACGCCTACAGGATTTTGAAAGAGTTTCTGGGTCGTGCTCTAGTTTTGAGAAGTTTCCTGCCTGTTGTTTATCAAGGTTAATTACCTGCAGCGGAGGGAATGGTGTGGTCATAGGAGTCGGCTTTGTCACTTCAATCTAGCTAAAGTAATAATAATTAAAATTTGCTTGGGCGAAGAGAAAATCTAGGAAGTGTCTTTGTTTGAATAGACTTATAGGCGCCACAGTGTTATGGTTTTTGCAGTGGGGTATTGTCACAGAGCATTTCTGTCGGACCGTGATTCACAATAATTTATTCGTGTAGACATAAAGGGTGTAGTCATTCATTAGAAAAAGAAAATGGAATTAGACAAGGCACTCTCACAATCGAAGCGCAAACAATTATAAAGTGTTGGAAGAAGGTGAGGGGGTGTTACACGTTTCGTTATCTCTAACTTAATAGGCAAATAAAGAAAGAAAGTGAATTTATTAACGTTGTTACATGTATTGTTATTGTAATTGATATTTTGTTTTCCTTATCTTATGATGTTAGTTATATTTTTTGATGTCGTTGCTATTGCCAGAGACACTAAAATATATACTCTCTGCTATTGCTTTTATCGTAACTACTCTTATGTACAAAAATGTAGTTTTGTTGATATGCCTAGCGGTGGTCTGGTTTTGTGGGTCTATTTTGAAGTATGTAACTTCAATTACGTTCTTATATCAAGGTCATTTTCGCACACACCCTATCCCTCAGGGACATAAAGTCGCCGCCTGCAGTATGAACATCATCATCATAGTTAAGGACGGATTATGGAGTGAGGGAGGGAGGGAGGGAGAGAGAGAGAGAGAGAGAGAGAGA